AAGTTTCAGAGAACTCTTTAACATCAGAATGCCAGGGGACATTCTCCATTGTCAACTTTGATGTGGCAGTTCTGTAAAACAAACAATGGTGAGAACTTTCTTAACAGAGCCATGGCTAGCAAGAATGGCCCTATGTTGCACCAATACACCTATTTATGAAGGCCTGTTGTATCTGATACACCGATACACGGATACGCCTCCGATACAGCACTGATACGTGTCAGATACGGCTTTTCCATATCCAATTAAAATACTATTTAATTTCAAAAGGACGCGCATGTCCGTTGAAAAAAAAATTCCGAAAAAAGACCCATCGTATTTACTTCCGCGACTGCGAGCGAGGTTCTCTGATTTTCGAGATGGATTTGAGTCTCTTGATGATATAGGAATATTAGAAATTGCTAATCTTTCACTTGATGCATCCTGAATTAGAAGCTATGACATTTATTGAAGATGATATGAAAGTTCAAAGACAAACCACTGAAGAAGCTAATTATATCATTCCTTCTATTGAATAGTTGAAACTTCATGTGCTAGACAATTTATGTTTATGATTTTATTGTTGTACTGGACATTTAATGCTTACTTTTATTTTGATATTATAAGCAACAAGGCTACAAATGATATTACTTTCATTTTTTTGTAATTTCAAATATTATGCTTTGATTGCTTTCTTAATTTTTATGTATGATTTATAAATTATGATACAATGTCCGCGCCGTACCCGTATCCTATATTTTTAAGAATTGATGTCCTGTATCCGTATCGTGTCGTATCCGTGTCGCTGTATCAATGGCCTAAAGAAAAGAAAATAAGCAACTCACGAGCCACAGTACGTGACACCCTTGATCTCAATGAAATCTGGTTCTCCAAGGCCTAGCAAGTTAGCATATGCGTCTACTTCTTCCGCATTCCATCCTTTAACAAGAGTTAGACGGTAAACAGTCCTCTGTTGTTTGTCATGCAAAGCTTTCAGAGAATCCTATCAAAATAGATAAATGATTAAGAAAAATCAATAGTAGGAGAAAAAATGAGAATGAATTTCTGGTATAAATGATTAAGAAGATGAGAATGAATGTGTATCCGAATTTGTAGATGAAAGAAAATCTATGAAACCTTAAGGTACATTATCAATTTCTGGGACAAATCTCAGATTATCATTAGAAACTAAACATCCATAATGTAGATTTATTTTTGGAAAAAATAATCAACACGCACTTGACAACCAATATAACGGACTCTTAAGAATAAAACTCACAACAAAGCGCTCCCAAAAGTCTCCAAAAAGTGGTCTATCAACTGCCTTCAAGCTCTCCTTTGTTGCAGCATCAACACTCACATATAACTGCAAATGTTTCAAATATGTAAATTCGTTACTTATCTGGGTATAATAGAGTGCATTGCATCTATTTGGCTGTACAAACCTGGGTAACAGGTTTTAACATCTTTATTCTGTCTGGAAATTGGGCATTTGTAACAAGAAAAGTAGAAATGTGCCTGCGGTGCAGTTCCTCGATTAGTCTATTTATCTCCGGATACATGATTGGTTCACCAACAAGAGACAAAGCACAGTGTCGGGGAGATAGACCTTCAAGAAACTGCTGTTCCTTCACCCCTGTAGTAAACAGAAGAGAAAGGTATGAACAAGGAGAAAATGTTTGTTAAGGTTATGGCTAGATGGTTGCTAAACAGATTTTTTTCTTCCAGAATATGTTTTAAAAAATAATCAGGTATTGATAACAATTGGTGGAGGATTTTTTTTTTTAAGTTCTATAAAAATTGATCAAGGCTACTCATGGAAGTCGGAAATCTTGACAGAAAAACGTTTTCATTTAAAAAATTGTCTACAACTCAAATAAGGGTGTGACAGGTTGATTATAGAAAGTCAGAAAACTACCATATAAGTAACAAATATCTCCTACCAAAAGCATTAGTCAATCTCCAAGGCTACTCAGGCTTCGTTTGAGATTATTTTCTTACTGCTTCTTAAAACAACTTTTTAGTATAAAAATTTTAATTTTTTATTAGAAAGCTACTTTAAGAAACAGTAAAAAAGACGTCCCAAACGAAACCTTAATCTTGCTTGCGTTCCACATACAGGAGAATTCCGCATACTATTCTGAGAGTGGAAGAAGCATAAAATACAAACACACCTGGGACACCCTTCATTTGCTTTATCATTTTAGTATGTTGGTCGATGGCAGTATCCACAATAACAAGAGGATCATCCATCTTCCACCGCCATTCTTTTCCCACAGGATTAGTATGATGCCTCCAACAAAAAACACACTTATTTGCGCATGCTAAGCTTGGGGTTGCTTCCATGCACCTTGAGACAGAAAGAAAAAAATAATGAAAGCGGGAAGAATACTTCAACCAAACATACAACTCCTAGCTAGAATCCTATATTATCATCTCTATTACAGGTTCCTAGAGCTATTATGACTGCGGTGGATACAAAATAATAATAAAATATTCACTAAGGCATGAAAGTACAAAATCAAAACCAATGTGCCTTTGTCACAGAATCAAAATATTTGGAAAATTCAACAGCAATAAACATTAGATGGTGCTCCAATCAACAGCATTGTTATCAAGTTACGCAATCATTACCTATGACTCTCAATCCCATAAAATGAGTGCTTGTAGCAGCCGCCACGTCCTCGGAGTTGTGCCTTTGTCCATCTACAAATTTTAACGCCACTATGTGAACCAATAATCTTGTATCCCTGCATTGATGAAGAGGTGCAAGTCACACAAATGTTGGCCTCTTCAATGAGAACTCATGTAACGAGACTCTGGGCAAAAATAAATAATAGGCGCAATATGAAAAAATTTATACAAAAGCAAATAACGACTAGAAAAATCAACAAGATTTGCTAAACAAGAAATATGTGACAAGTAACTTTCCAACAATCAAATGCATTCATTACTTGCTAAATCAAGCATGAAAAAGAATGAGTACAAATCTAATTTCAGATCAAATACTGGTAGTTTAATCAAAGAAAAGTGCCCAAGTTGATGTTCCTGAAATCCCTGGTGTGATAGGCGTATTATGATTTCTCATTTACATTGTTAGGATTACTTTGATGGCTAAGCCTTTCATGATGATGATGGTGACCTGTCAGTGAGAATAATGGATAGAAAATGCTATAGATCTTTGGTTTAATATTTAAGTAAGTGCTTTGGAGTTTGTGGTGGAATAGTGAGAAATTTGAAGGCGAATAATGGTGGGAATGCCATGGCTAATTTAAATTGGGTTAGTTTAAGCTGCTTTTAAAGATTACATATAGGATTTTACAAATGGCTGAAAATGCTTGGAAAGAATGAGCTTAGGATGTGGACTAAAAATATAGAGTAGATGTTAAAGTAAAATTTGGTGGAGTTTAAATAGGTGTCGAGGAGTAGAAACAAATAGGTTCTAGTCTTGCTTGGTTTATCAGAGTTACTAGCGAGGTCGTATGTGATTGCAAGGTTTGAGTTGTGACCGTTGTGTAGTGGTTGGTCTTGTAAGAGGCATAGGATGTGGGAGATGTTATGATGATTTGGAGCACGTGTTTGAAAAAACAAAACAACTAATCTTAAAATAAAAAAAATATAATTATACAATCTCATTAAAAAAAGCACTATTAAAACCACCGAAACACAAGCAAAAGAGAAGATATATTCTTCAGCCAAATGATTTCATTCAATATTAGAAATTTTGTGACATAACAACTTCTATTTACCAGCAACAAAGGAACCTTAAGTTTTCTACTTTTATAAGGAAAGGAATGGTCACTTAATAAAAGAGTAGATTTCTAATATTTTCATTAACACATTTCATTTTTCATGCTTTTTCATTTATGTGCCAGTCTTACATTGTTTCAATGGCATTTTAAAATATAAAAATAAAATTAAATTAAATTTATATAATTCCAATATTGGACCTTAACATGGGCTTTAAAATATACTCTTTTTCATTGATTTTTACCAGCTTGGGTATTGCTCTTGCTCTTAATGGGTGTAACGGGCTGATTTGAATTATCTAATTGATGTGCAATATTAAATTCTGCTGGGCTGAGTTGAACTCTGCTCTATAGAATAAAAATCCAAAAAATCTTCTAACGATCATGGGGCCAAGGTCTCCAAGTTGGTGTGAGTTCGCAGTGTGTTGATGACAGGTGGCTTATTTTTTATTGAACTAGAAATCAAGGCTCAACAATATGATCAATGGGTACTTCCTCAATGATGATATAATTGACTTCTAAGAATGAAGGATTTGCAAGTTAGGAACTATGCCTCTTGCCAAAGAGTCAAAATGTACATGTGTACATTTGCTAAGTCCCTCATATAATATAATATCTTCAATATTAAAAATAAGATGAATTAGAATATCCGCAGACAATTCAAGATGGGGGATATCAGATCCAAATTTTTAAAAAATTTAAATAAGCCATCATCACTTGCATATAATTTTCTAAACTTTGTGTTGTGATATTGCTAAGGGTGGATATGGATCAAAACATTGTCACCCACTTTAAATTCATTTGCTGACGTATTATATTTTCTCTATAAATATCTGTCATTTATAGAAATAAATTATTTTCTTATGATTTCATGAAGGCTTTGAAAATCTTTAGCAAATAAAATGCAAAATAAAAAATGAAAGAGACGGGAGGTTGGTTATATCATTGGGTCATCTAGGTTATGGTCATATACAATTTCAAAAAATGATGTCTTGGTTGTTCTAAAAATAATACTATTATATACAAATTTAGAGGTAGGTAAATGTAAGTCCCAAATTATAATTTTTTTTCCTAAAAGACAATTTACCAAGTTTCCTAAAGTTTGATTAACTACCTCGTTTTGACTATCATTTTGGTGATAGAAGGCGTATAAAAGTTTTTAAAGATAGGCCGCCTTAGAGAAGTACACTTTCCTTAAAAACATCATTGATTTTGGAACAAGATAAAAAATGAGATATTTTTTAAAATAATACTATTATATACAAATTTAGAGGTAATGTAAGTCCCAAATTATAATTTTTTTCCTAAAAGACAACTTACCAAGTTTCCTAAAGTTTGATTAACTACCTTGGTTTGACTATCAATTTGGTGATAGAAGACGTATGAAAATTTTTAAAGATAGGCCTCAGAGAAATACACTTTCCTTAAAAACATCATTGGATTTGGAACAAGATAAAAAACTGAGCTATTTTAGAAAATCCATCAACTACAATAAGAATATTATCATGTCTTTGAGTTGTATGGATAATACTAAAGATAAAATCCAACAAAAAGATCTTCCTAAGACTTATAAAGAATATGAAAAGCTATATATTGTCTAGATTTTTGTTTGGTAGCTTTAACTTGTTTAAATGCTAGATATTATGTCCCAAAATTTTTAACATTCCACTTAAGTGAAGGCCAAAAAATTAAATTTTCATTAAATAAATAGTTTTATCCTTACCAAAATATAGGCATCAACAAATTCATTTTAGCTTGAGTTTTATGTTTAAGAACAAAAGAATAATCCTGAAGATATTCAATCCATTTGGCATGTCTATAACAAATACTTTTGTTTCATATTGAAAATTTTGAGGTTGTGATGATTTGAGTTAAGAATAAACTCCATGTATAAAAGATAGAGTCATTCATGTCTCAAGAATTGGATAATTACATAAAATTCCCTATCATATGTCGAGTATTGTTGCTTTGTTTCATTCAATTTTTCGCTAAAGAAAGCTATATGATGATTTTCTTGACTTGAAATTCCTTTAATACCAACTCCAAAAGTATCAAATGTCATTCAAAAGGTTCTAGAAAAAATAAGATCCTAAGGACAATGTGGGCTCCGAAAATTCAAGCTGCGACCCTTCGCACCTTTTTTTAACGAGGATAATTTTAACAAATTAGATTCCATAGTAAATTTTCAGAAGGCATATTGGATTTTAGATCAGATACTACCAAGAGATTTTGCCCTTATTTTGCAAGGATTTTATGATCTGAAGTCTAGTTTTTCATAGGCACAAGCTTCTATGATTAATTATCCCTCCCAAAAACAAGAGAGCACTTTCGATTAAGGCTAGTCATTAGATAGACACTAAGTACCACGCGTATAATAGGAATAACTTTAGGGTTTTTTTAGGGTTTCCAAAATTTGAAATTGATCATCAATTACTTAAAGTTGGTGATGGGAGAAAAATGACGGACCCGATCAAGATCCTATGGTTTTGTCATCCCGCACTGTCATCGTCTATAGTCTACTTAGTTAGAAAAGATAGTTGATCTAACCTGACTGAAGGATTCTTGTCAGCAGCCATGGGTTGCTTCGTCCAAGGGGACGTTGTAGACTTGGGATAAATGTTTGCCTAAGGAAACATATTGGTGGTTGCAACCTAAATGGCGACACGTTGATTTTGGCCAGCTAGGAGGCGATACCGACAATGATGGTTGACGCAAGAAGTCGGCTGACAGTCGACTGGCTGAGGATCATACTAGCAAGGGGGGCACACGAGCAAAGATGGATAGTCAAACGTGAAGGGTCAAGTGGGAGGCGGCTGGGGTAGAGTAGGATTAGGGGGATAGCTCTTAGGGCTTTAGTTCTTTTTAGGTAATTTAAAATAAAAGGGAAAAATGGCCTTTCATTTGAAATGAAAAGGACTGAGTACATGCTTCTAGAATATTTCAGGATTTTTTTTTAAATTTGATTTTATCCTAATTATATATATATATATATATATATATATTATATTATATATATATATATATATATATATATATATATATATATATATATTAATATATATATATATATAATAATTAAAGTTGGATGGTTTAAAGTGAGGAATTGCATCGGCTTATTGTGCGATAAAAAAATCCCCCACAAACTTAAGGGGAAAACTATTAAGATGGTGGTGGACCTGCAATGCTTTATTGCCGATGTTGCCATTTGAAAAGAACATAATACTAAGTTAAGTGTTGCAGAGATGAGAATGCCTTAGGTGGATGGTGGCTTGACCCCTTGAGATAGATATAAATGAGATATACATGAAAATGATTGGAGTAAGCTCCAATGGAAGATAAGATTAGAGAGAGTCTCCTGAGATGTTTGTCACATTAAATGGAGGCCTTCGATGACCCGGTTAAGGAAAGTTCAGTATAGATTTGACTTATGTTAAGGAAGATAGAGGTGACCCTAAAAAGACTTGTTAGAAAATATTGAAATGATCTCTTCTTATTAGATTTAATATGAGAATTTGACGTTTAACCAGACACAAAGGCGAAAAAAATGAATTCATGTATCCAGCCCCACGTAGTGGGACAAAAGACTTGATATTGTTTTGTTGTGTGTGTGTGTGTGTGTATATATATATAATATATATGTAATATCATAATTTAAATTTAAAATATTTTTTTTATATTAAATTCAACTTAACCCGCTTACTTAAACTCCATCACTCACGCACATTGAGCTCCACCTTAATTTGTGTGCTTAAATGGATTTTTTTGCCAATTTTTTCATGTCAGTACCTAGGCATATAGGTGTCTTTTCCTAAATTTTGGGACTTTTCAGACTAATTGTTCGTTTTACGATTGGAGGTCATTTCAAGTGGTTTTGAATATCGTCAGTGTATTTCGAGTCAACTCGTGTGACGTCACTTCAATCCGTCGTCGACCTCGTCGGCATCCTTATCTTGCTCGTTAGGTATATTTTAGGGGTCAACAGACAACTAGTCGAGGAAATCAAAATCTTAATCTAATCTAAGGCCTTTGATGTTGCAGGATTCAACAAAGTTTATCTTGTTTTAGAATATCGATGATAGAGGCAACAACCATACTACAGTCTTTAATTAATCTCTCGTAGAAAGCATCTAAACTATGAAAATTTTGTATACCAATTAAACTCTTGGGTAAGGGATAGTCAAAGATAGCTTAAATTTTCGAAGGGGTCACGTTTAATTACAACATTAAAAATAATGAATACTATAAAAATCACTTGAATTTGAAAAAAGAAATACTTATTTAGATTGTTGTATAGCTTTTCTTTTCTAAGGGTTTCAAAGACTTATCTAAGTTATTGCAAATGGTATACCTCGCTTACGCTAAAAATCAAGATGTCATCATGATAAACAACCAAAATTTTTTTCTATGAGAGATTTTAAAAAGGTGTTTATTTACCTCACAAATGTGTTAGGAGCATTCAAAAGTTCATATGGTATCACCAATCATTTAGAGTCGATCAAGGAGTCTTAAAAGGAGTTTTCAATTAATCTCTCAATCTAATCTAAATTAGTGATAAATACTTTTTAAATCAATTTTAAAAAAAATATCCCTAAAATTGAATCCAACATGCATCCAATCGAGGTATTTGATAGTGACTTTATTGATGGCCCAACCATAAATATATGTCCTCCATATGCCATCTTTTCTTAAGAGTAAACAAGCTTGGAATTGTACCAGGACTAAGATTTTCTCATACTAAAACTTTCTAAAGCTCACTAAGCTTAGAAAATTTCATCTTTTCTTAATCGTACTAAAACTTTCCTAAGCAATTTAGGTCATGCAATAAGGATCTACTTAATAAAATGTAAACAATGTTCATGGGAAGGACATCATACCAAATTTTTATTTTCATAACTACCAATTTTTATGCGAATGAGACACCTACTTATGATAGATAGAAATTTAAAATAGGCACAAATAGCAATATAGCATGACAAATTTCAAGGTGTGGTTTAATCTTAAGATTGGCTACGGAGATTGCGTCAGTTGAGATTTCATTTATTGTACTTCCTTTATGTATGACTAACCTACACATTTTCCCATCACACATAATATATATACTAAAAATATTCTTCTTTCTCCAATCCCCTATTTTATTTTTGGTTAAAATCATATATTGTATAACAATCATTTGATGGTCATCTATGAACTCTAACTCCTCATTATAAAATGGTTTATCATCATAAACTTCTTTTAGGTCATCATCTATAGAAGTCTTAATTTCTTTTAAGAAAGGATTTGAACTTTATATTGATTTTACATATGCCCCTTTTGTGACATTTGAAATAAATGATTTTCTTAAATATTTTAGAACTCTCATCGATAGATGCTTTGGGAAAATGGGCTAGGCTAGTAGGTGGAGTGGGTTTAACAATAGGCCTATGGAATAATATAGGGGATTTGTCCTTTTTATCTTAAAAGAGATTTTTTTTTTCCACCAACATTAGGCCACTCAATGGAGGGGTGGGCCAATCAATGAAGGGAAAGAGAGAGAGGGGTGAGCCACTCAATGAAGGAGGATAGCTATAACATTTTTCATATAATTATTTTATTTTCCATGTTCCGTCATTAAGGTGACCGATAACATATGGTTTTAATGACAATTTAACATGTACAAAAATGAAAATAAAATTATATTTAAATAATTCCAACATTAGGCCTTTACCAGGGCTTTAAAATGGGATTTTTGCTAAGCTTAGACCTTTGCTCTAGACTCTTGTAATAGGTCCAGTTGGCTGATTTGAATTATCCACTTGATGTGCCACATCACTTAACCATGCCAAGTTTAATCTAGCTTGGATCACCTTGATTCATACGAAAGAATCTTGTGAAAGATTTTCTATTTACCAAATCAAAAGTATTCTGAATTGTGTTAAAAATGACCAACAAAGACTTAGATACTGGGTTTTCCTTGGCTATATATGCTTTATCATGCCAGAACTGACTTTTTATTTAACCTAAACAATAAGTGAAGTAAGAATGGTAATCAGAGTAGCCATTTCCTGATCAATATTAATTTTGATTAAAGGGTTGTAACAGTATGGATTAAAATTTTGCCAATAATCTACCTAACGAAACTTAGGCCAAAAATTTTGTAGGATTTCTAACTAGATATCCGGTTTTTTTTTAGTGGAGTGCTTGTTTCTTTCTCCATTCTTTCTAGACATCCAATTTATTGTCTATCCTTCCTTTTTCAAATGGTCGATCAAAAAAATTGATTAGGAAAAGGTCATTGGTGTAGTATTGATTCTAACCACAAGTATCATATGATTAGTTTGAAAAAAAAAAAAAAAGTTGTATAATAGCTAGAATGGAGGTGGTCTAGAAGTTTCAATCTTGAATATATGAAGAAAGCCCTATCGGATAATTGTTGGTTGAAACTTGATGCCACTAAAGAAGATCTTCAAGAAAAAAATAGCAGTAAGTATATTAAAAGGAGAAGGGATTGCCTGTAAGAGAAAGAGGCAGCATGTATTCCATGCTTGAACTTGCAATTAAACAACTGCCTGCTTTATGCTTCCTATTCCAACAAAAGTTAGGAGCCTTAATCAAGAGAGCTATACCCACGTAAACTTTTCAGAGTGGCATTTGTCAGATTTTTATTGCTTTTCCTCAATTCTAATATTTTTTTTCTCAAACATTTCAAGATTGCCATTTATAAGTTAGAAACTCAAACCTCCAGAATCCCGAAAAGAATAAAGTTTTTCTGCAGTAAAAAATATTGCTTAAATATGACCAATTGTTTGATAACATTAGTGAACATGCAATCAAAGTTCCTTATTATAAGTTAAACATGCCGGCGAAAAAATAATGTCTGATGGTGCCAGAAAGCCTAGGTATTTTGGACATATTACTTTGAAGAAAGGTCAGCAAATATCTATGTTATTTAAGTAATATTATTAAGCCTTTGAACCTTATAGTCATTTTAATATTTTGTACATTGTATATTTAACTATATATTATTTCGTACATTGTATTTTAAACTATATATTGAATGAAAAGGAGAGAAATTTTTCCCTCTCAAGTATCAAAGCCTTAATAGAAAAAGACCGATCCCCATATTGAATTAAGCCTCTCAATATTTTCAATGAATAAACCACTTAGCAGTGTTACATCTAAGGAGTGAAGAAGGTGGCTTAAATTCTTTTCAAATCACCGTTTTTCTTGAGCTGGCATTAAAACCTGCAAATATGATTCTTCGGCTTACTTAAACATTTCCTAAACTCAAGATAATAAGAATATATTCCAATATTGATTACTGCTATGGGTTAGTTGCCATGGGTCATTTCTTAGAGAAAATATTCCGTGCGGAATCCGGATGATAAAGAACTGTTCGGATGTGAGTGTACACAGTGTTTGTACACACTGCATATAAAAAAAATCAAACTATGTACAAAATTATACTTAGTGTACGCACTGTGTACACTCACATCTGGACGGTGCTTTACCATCCAGACTCTGCAAAGAATAATTTCTCCATCTCTTAAGGCTCTCATTTGTCTTAATGTATCAGAATTTTTTGTCACTTGCAAGATCATCATCATCACTATCCTTATCCTAACTATTTGGGATTTTCTTAACATAACTCAACAGTTTCTAAACGCTGTGTCCTCTCCCAATAAAAAATAAAAAATAAAAAAGATGTTGCATTATATTCCTCCTACCAAAACCCTACCAACGTAAAGTACTCCACTCACAAGAAAAGCAATGAAGTCGCACACCCCTACAAGTCCAAATTGATCTTCATTGAACCAGCTAACATATTTACAGAATAAATCAGAAAAGTGAAAATTCTCAATCATGAATTAATTCTCAAGTTACTATCATAATGTGATGAGGACATCGTCAGCATTTTCCCGACACCGGACGATGGTTACTAGCATGAGTTGTATTTTCATTATCTTTATGTAGTAGTTTTATTTTATATTCTTATGTTTTTTCCGCTTTTTGCCCTTATGGGTATTTGCGCTATTGTTAGCCCAAGGGCATTTTTAGTTCTTTTCTTTTATTTGTCATTGTGAGGCCTATTTATATGTCTTCTCTTGTAATAGATTAGTTTGATAATGAAAAATATTGCCACTTATGATCTCTTTGTGAGTTCACCCTCCCCGATCTCTTAGCCGAGTTCGTAGGAGAAGCTAGATGCTCTTTGTGAGTTCTAGATCTTCTTGTTCTACCATTTTCTTCCTGTATTCTGGTGATCGATTGTCGTCGTAGAGATCCGGCTTTGAAGATTTGGAAGATGGAATCCACTGAATCCCAAGAATTTTCACCTACGGATTTGCCCTCTCTTGACTCACTGCCGCCCGCCCTTCCTGGCTTGCCCCAGGCCGCCGGCCTGCAGCCCTTCCGGCCGACCAACAGCAGCCGCCGGACCACCCTCTACCGGCCAGCATTTGGCCGCCTCCCCTTTCCCTCCTTTTGGCATCTTGTTTGAATATTTCCTAATTGGGAGCTCATCATTAAGGCTATCCACTCAATCTCCCACCATTTCCCCTAAGCCTTGTGCCTCCGATAGAAGCCTAAAGCGTGCTGTCCAGAAACATCAGGTTGCATGTCCAAGGGTCCAGATCAAGTGGATGGCTGCCCCCCACCCCCAAAGTTGTAAACTGCTGTTTCACGGGCAGCTAGGAGTGGTGTCTGCTGCCCGCCATCTTGCAAGCAGCCAAAACGTTTGCATTGAGCCTTGTCATTGCCTTTCCATTGGAGTTTCAGACTTGAGTGGTTTGGCCTTCCTCCACCTAGAAAACTTCCAGAATCGTACTCACGCACCTACCCAAGAACGACGATCCAAGGTCCTTCTTCCTCGGAAGTGACCTCGTTCTAATGTGGAGGCGCTTCTTCGCTAAAGCCTAGATTAGTTGAGCATAAGGCTCCAAAGGTCGAAACGTTCTCTTATTAAATAATGAGGATTCTTGTTTACTGTACGTGAGCATACAATTATTCTTGGTGTTTTCTTAAATTGTCTGGTTATCGATGTCAACTCTTCAGTGCCTTAAACGATTTAAAACTAAGAGTTCTAAGGATCACTCTTCTATTATAACACGATAATTTTATTTTGGGTTATTAAGTTTCAATTGATCTCTTTAATTTCTAAAGTAATTCCTCATCGCATTTTGTTTCACATCATCTTGTATCAGAGCATGGTAGGCATGCACGACATGATTAGAAAAACATCCTAGGGCATAACCTTCATTTCAAGTTAAATTTTGCATGCATATCATTGCGTCGTTAAGATTTTTTTCACTGTTTTTCCTGCTGTTTTCAAAATTCCTGCATACAGTCATTGACATTTAGTCTGTCTTAGCTAGTATCTAACTGCTGCCGTTGAGCCCATAGTGTTCCTGTCTACTCAGGACTTTGAATTTGTGTTTGGAGCTGCTGTCCCTTCAATTCCAGCATCTGTACACTTCAGTTTGGAGAGTTTGTTAGTGCTGTTTTGTACTGTCACCACTCTAGGTTCTACCTAAGGTGTTTGGGAAGCGACGGACTCTACTTTAGTTTGCTGTCCGTTGTTTCCTGCAGCTGTTAGGTGTCCGTTAGCGAACCTAGAGTCACTACTTAGGTGCTGTCCACGCCCCGGAACCTTGCTACAACACTTAGAAAGCTTTATGTCATGTTGTGATCTGCTGTCCAAACATTTGCCACACCCAATAGTGAGTCTAAGTGAGCCTATTTTGGTGTCTAAGTGATGTATCAGGCGCCCATTCTTCTTTAAACTTCACTTAGCTATATTCCTGCACCTATTAGCATCCGTCTGGAAGAGTTCTAGGTAGTATCCACTTGTGGTCCACGTTCCAGAGTCCAACCTACTTGCCTAGATCACTTAAATCAGTCTTGTAGCTGGCTGTCCTGAGTTCTTCCTGCACCA